CCCGCCCCAGCTCAGTACTTTTAAAAAAAAAGCCCCGGTGCTCACTGGGTGTTGCTGGGCCGGCGGCGATCCCCACTGCTGCCCACTGCTCCATGCTGCACACATTTCCCTTTAAGTTAAAAAGCAAGAACTAGAAAATGTAGTAAAAAAGCAAAACAAATCCTTTAATCATTCAGAGTCAAAGTCGCAGCACCTTCTGCTCTTGTTAGCAGCAAAGTTCAGCAAATTGCAGACCTCTGAAGAAACCCTCGGAAAGTCACGGTCCTCTAGATCTTTTTATACCGCTATCACAGCTGCGGTAAGCTCCTGCTACTGGTTCCCTCTGTCATACCACATACCCTCTGAGAGGACAGCTGGGGTGCATGTAACTACCCATAACCTGGGTCAGGAATGGGGAAAGAGGTTCATAACCCCTCAGGGTAGAAGAGACCCACAGCCTACGTATGGCAGGTTGGAATGTGGGGTCAACATACTCCCACATAGGTCATTCCTAATGGTTACTGCCAGCTCCAAGGGACAGAAATAAGGTTGCACAGCCATGTATCTCAAACTTGGGAAAACCGTGAAATACAAAGTTCAGTTTGAGTTACCTTATTTCTGTATGCTTTAACTGTCAGAGGCCTGATTTTAGCTGAATTCAGTGCTCTACAAAATGCACAGAATACCACCGGGCAACCTTTAATCTGCACCAGCAAAGGATTTATTCATCCACAAGATCTATGGACCATCTACATCAGTGAAATAAAAATGGTTAAATAAATCAAACATACATATCTTGTGTAGTAATAAAAAACCACCTTTATCAAATAAATAAAACAACTGTATGAATTGTCTAATCTGTGTCTGACACTCTTCCTTCCAGAACCAGAACTGCTAAACTGCATTTCACAGGCTGCCAACTCCTAAGAAAGATTTTCCTTTTTCTCTGATGGAATAGGAACCTCCTTGGAGAACTCCTGGGGTCACCGTGAAGTCTCAAGCAAGCATTTGTGAAGCACAGCATAGCTACATTTGGGAGGCTGGTGGTGAGTGGCTGTATTTCTTACATTGTTTCCCTTCCTTCTTCCCCTGCAAAAATCTTACCATTTACCAATGGCCTTGTAAGCAGAAGCCATTGCAAGCATGTGAGGGCCGTAGGTAGGTCTTGAGTAGAAGATGGGGAAGCCAATGCGGGAGAGCTGCCTTGCAGGAAAGTCTAGCAGAAGCCCCTGAAGCAGAGCAAAGTAAAGGCGGAAAATGTTTCCTGCAAAATGTTACAGGGACCTTTTGAATCATTTTATTCTGGGCCATTTTACAATATAGAAGCAGTATTGTTTGTCACACTGGCCCAGAAGACAGGCTTCTTTCCACTAGTTTTCTAAAGCAGGCTTTTGGCTTTAACTGGAACATTGCTCTCTTTGACCATTGCACACCTGTGGCCTGAGTAAAGCACTGTGTGTTGCTGTGAAGTTAACACCCCTTGTACAGTCTTTCATATGGAAGAAGATGTTTTGAGGGGAAGGAGAGGGAAGAAGATTCCCGGGCTCACTTTCACAGAGCATGGGATTTTCTGGGAATGCTTTGCCCTTATGCACCTCTGGCAATCTTGACATTCTGCACAGTGCACCAAGCCTTGACAGTTCCCTGTGCTGTATGACAAAAGGAGTCTGTAGGCCTCCAGTGACTATTAACTGTTCCTAACTGCTCTACTGGCAGCCAGCTGTTTCACAGAGTGCTTTGGAAAGACGTTCATTGAAAGGTGCTAGTTCCTGTTTTGCTAAAGCTGACAAAATAATCATCAGTCCTGTGGACCTTAGGGGAGGGGGGAAAAAAGGGAAAAAATAGCTCTGTTCTCCATTAAATTTCTGTTTCTATGATCAATAGCTTGGTTCTGGTGTCAGCTAAGTACATTTATCTCTTATTGTTGGGGCCTCCTCTAGCCTTAAATGGAAATCCATGGGAAGAGAGATGAGACACAATTTTCCCCTTGGATGGATGAATGACCATTCAGCGGGAACCCAACTCCATGAAGCCCATGATTTAGCCAGGCAAAAACTCTTGAACAGTAAAAATAGCACTTTTTGTTTGTTTGTTTGTTTGTTTTTAAGATTCTTCCTTCTTCCCCTACA